ACAATTCTTCGTGTTAATTCATGATCGAAACTTCTCACTTCATTAAAATATGTAATATTAATTGTATTTACTTATTTAATAATATGTGTAAATTTGAAAAAAAATTATATATAAAGATTATTTCTAATCATGCTCTTTTTTTTTAGGTTAAAACCCTTTTTTGGTCCTTGAATTATTGTACGGACCCCCGATTTGGTCCCTAAACTAAAAAAATTCCTGATTTAGTCCATACTGTTTACCATTTTTACCCCGATTTGGTCCTTCCGTTAAAAATTGTGTGACGTGGCCTGTTACTTAATGATTACCAGATGACATGTCATATAATAATCCACGTGGAAGATAATATAACCAAAAAGTGATGATGTGGAAAAAAATAATATAAAAAATAAAACTTTAAATTTTTTTTCTTTTTTCTTTCTCTTTCTCCTCCCCTTTTCTCTTCTTTTTCCCCTCGAAACCCAACAGGCCTGGGTTCCTTCGAACCCACCCAGGTGCTGGGTTCCTTGCGAACCCAGGCGCTGGGTTCACAAGGAACCCAAGCATGCTTGGTTCGTGTCTGGGTTCGCACCAAACCCAGCATGCCTGGGTTTGGTGGAACCTAGCACGCTTGGGTTCCTTGCGAACCCAAGCGCTAGGTTCGCGTCTTGGTTCGCACCGAACCCAGCATGCCTGGGTTTGGTGGAACCCAGCACGCTTGGGTTCGGTTCCTTGCGAACCCAGCGCCTGGGTTTGCCCAAGCGTGCTGGGTTCCTACAAACCCAACACGCTTGGGTTCGCAAGGAACCTAGGTGCAAAAATTTTTTTAAAAAAAATTTCTATTTTTGTTTTTTGGATTTTGTTGTTTGATTGTGATGAAAAATTGATTGATGAAGATGAAGAAGGCCAGGCAAGGCAGTTGCTGGGTTACTGCAGGTGTTGGGTTCGATTTTTCAATTTCGAATGCTAGGTTTTTGCAGGTGCTGAGTTTGTTTGCAGGTGCTAGGTTCAAAATCGAACCCAGCAGGCGGTGGGTTTTAGGCTCTGGGTTTCGTTTCGAACCCAGCAGCCGTTGGGTCAAATATCTATTGAGTTTAATATGTTGATTTGTTGTGTTATCCTCTAATTTAATATTAGGAGTTAGGGTTTGCAGAAGGTTAAAGGAAAGGGAGAGGAAGAAGAAAGGGAAAAAGGAAAAACAAACGAAGAAAAAAAAAAAAAGGAATAACAAAATTTTTAAGATTTTTTTCTTGCCATCTCAATATTTTGTCACACTGTACATCCTAGGTGTCAAAATGTTTTTACATGTCATCGTTTTCCCCGTCAAGTAATGGGACACGTAGGTTGATATTTGACAGAATGACCAAATCGGGGTAAAAATGGTAAATAGTAGGGACCAAATCCGAGATTTTTTTAGTTTAGGGACCAAATCGGGGGTCCGTACAATAGTTCAGAGACCAAAAAGGGTTTTAACCTTTTTTTTAACTATGAAAATTTATAATAAATCTTACCATAACCTTATGATATTAAAAGAGTAAATATATTCAGTATCACACATTTTGCCTAAATTAAAAGAACTAATAAAAATTAAAACCGAATTAAAACTAAGTGACATGTTAGATAAGTGGACATGTTATGTTAGGTTGTAAGCAA